GGGAAAGGCAATGTCAAAAATGCTAGCCTAGCTGCAGTAATGAGCCCATCAGTTTCTATGCCTGTTCGCCGCTTTTGCTGAACCTAATCCCACCACTCCACAGCAGTACGCCCGCACAGGTTCATCCCCAATGTTCCTGCTGCTTTTGACGGGCTTGGGTCGGGTAGGCTCTCTGGATCCATGAAACAAATATGGAAGTTATTAGATAAATGGCACTTGCAAAAAATCAAAACATTTATTTGAGCCGACACAAACCAGACAATGAGTGAGGTGCTTTGTACATATTATTACTCACTTTCCTCCACATAGTTAGCTCAAGTAGTTGGTCTCAAGGTCAGGACCCAAACCAGTCCGTCCCACAGAAACCGGTTTTCTCTGACGTTGCAGGCGTGGGCCACAAAGAACATATCTGCCGTTCAACTGGCCAACGTCCACCCGACTGGATGCAGCTTAAGTGCACAGGCAACAGCAGAGACAGAGGTGCCTGAAAGGCACTGTACTGCCAGAGAGTGGCAGGGGACACATGCCCCTACTGTGTGTCTGTCCTGTGCCATGAACCACCATGCCACGGAGCAGGGCACAGTACTTGGTGCCCGCCTCAACGCTCCAGCCTACCCACAGCCCCGGGACCCTCCTTGTACCTGTGAGGACGCTGCAGCTCAGAGAAACCTTCATGGATACGGGAGTCACAGAGACAGAGGTGGGGCTTGAAATAAAACTCTACTCATCGATAAATATTTACCAAGGGCTCGCTACGCACCAGAGTGCCAGGAAGCACTGGGGAATGTTAGAAATGCCCACAGGCAACCCACACCAAACCCGTCTTGCCTCCCTCTCCCTCTTTTTTATTGGGGGGAGGGGGCTATACGGCACATGCACTCACTAGAGAGAGATAGAGAAAGATAGAAAGAGAAAGTGAGAAATCACCCCTTGAGTGGATGGCCACATCCCTTCTCTATTCTCTCTCAGGATTTCAGGTACACACGCACATGCACCTGGCGTGTTTTTCCAGCCACTGGGTCCAGGATCAAATCAAACATGTAGGTGGCCATGTGGGGTCCAGCCACCTTAACCACCATGCCACAAGCTGGCCCCAAGCCGACTTTCTCTTTGCTTAAGGAGTAAGCTACCGTGAAACTGAAACATCCTTCAGAGACATTTTCAACAGCACTGTTTTAACTGGCTACACTGTTTCTTATATTACCCACAGACCACGGTGACCACAGTGAAAACCCAACGAGCGCGTGCAGGGGCAAGTGCGAAGACACAGCAATCTGTCCTTACACACGCGTCTGAAACGCTTATATTACCCACAGACCATGGTGACCACAGTGAAAACCCAACGAGCGCGTGCAGGGGCAAGTGCGAGGACACAGCAATCTGTCCTTACACACACGTCTGAAACGCGCCAGAGAAAACCCGGCTGGAGAGGACGCCTGCGGGTTCTGGGAGAGGACTGAAACCAGCAAGCGCTCTGGGAAGCTTCTGACGGTCTGGCAGATTTCACGGCAACAGTGAAATTTCAGAGAGCAGAAGTCAGCACCAAAGCTAGTTTGACATTAATAATAAGTGAGCTAATACACAGGCCCGTGTTTGCGCAGCCTGGCTGTGCTTACATGTCAGCTGGAAAGCAGGAAGGAAACCGGATTGAACTCCCATCCAATCTGCACCGTGACGATCGCGTTATCAGCAATGGAGCTAATGTCAGCATAAACCAGAGAACGCCCGGGGTTTGCAAGTGCCCTTTCCTTCCAACGACCGCCGTCATCCGTTCAGGGTAGAGTTGAGACTGTCTCCTTAAAGGAACAAGGGGGCAATTAGCATTGAGACTCCATAGAGAGCGGTCTGAACTGGCGGTCTAAACTGGCATTCACTCTCCAGCCACCCTGCAAGGCATCGTCGTCATTGAGAGAAGTGGAGTACATTTCTAAGGTCACATACCCGGGACAGAGGCAGAGCCATGCCCAAACTCAGATGAGAATTACTAAGTGTTCCACAGCACTGAGGAGCCTGCAAGGATACTAATAAAAGTGTAACATAAGAGGTGATCCTAAGACCTCTAAACATTACAATTTTACAATAATACGACCTCATCGCAGAGAACACAGACTGAAACACTGGTTTGGATTATAGACTGTTTTAGGACCTCACACGTACTCTACAACAATGTCAACCTTTCCAAAATTCCTGGGAAGGTCATTGTGAGTGAGAACATGAAATGCCTTGAAAGCAAAACACTAGGCTTCCGAATGGAAAAGGAACAAATAACTTTAACGTAGTATTATCAACAGAGAGCCACGTCAGAAAGCAGCTCGTCCTGTTCCAAATCAGCGCTGTTAAAAAGACCGTGACCACAAGTGCGGACCGGCTCGGGCAGCACCTCCAGGGGCCACTGCATGGACCGCTCACCCCTGTATGAACACAGAAGGGTAATGCGGTTCCAGAGCCAAACAAGTCGGGAAAACGCTGGTTCTGCTAACCCTGCTTTTTACTGATGACTGGCAGAACAAGGGAGGGGCTCCCAGCTTGTGGACCCCGGCCTTCCTCAGCTTCGATCCCCCGGCTCTTCCCCTAGCTTCGCCATGTGGCTGGGACACCATGGGCTGTAAATACTAGAAAGTCCTACACGTGGGGGTCTTAGAACAAAGCCTTGGAAAGTGCTCAACAAATGTTAAATGGTTACTAATAGAAGTTCAGGGAGCCTTTTTTAAAAAAACAAAAATTTGGAGAAGTTTTTGCATTAGGGCACATGTGCTCACCAGAAAGAGAGACAGACAGACAGAAAGCGAGAAATCACCCCCCCACCCCCCGGGGGATGGCCACACTGCAATCCCTTCTCCTCCATTCTCCGCTTGGGATCTGGGGCACACACACATACGCGCCCAGTGTGAGTTTAAGCCACCAGGTCTGGGACTCGAACCATTGTCGACTATGTGGGAGTCCAGTGACACAGCCTTACACCAACTTCTGGTCCCAGGAGGAGCCTTTTTTTTTTTTTAAAGAATTATTTATTTAATTGTATTTATTAGTATTATTATTTTTAATTTGCTATAGGGCACATGTACCCACCAGAAAGAGACAGAGAGAGAGAGAGAAAGCAAGACTCCAGGTCCAGGACTCAAACTGTGGTCAGCCATATGGGAGTCCAGAGCCTCAACCACACCACCGCCTGCTGACCCGGGGAGCCTTTATTAATCTGATGTAAACTGATGCTGTGAATCACCAGGGAGGGGGGTTACAGAACGCAGTTCCCCGACTTACATGATGACTGAACCCATCTCTGTACAAACACCCCACAAGAAGAATGGTACATTTCTTTAAAGAAACAAACGAAAAAACCTCTGAGAAAATTCCTTCACTAAAAATAAAATCTTTTTAGAAAAGACTGAGTTGTTCTCCCCCAAATTTTCCTTAACGCTTACCTGCTACTCCTTGTCTCTTCTAAAAGATGACAAAAGGAAGGATGCAGGGCAGGTTGGCCTAGAGGGAAAACGGTGAGATGTGGCCTCTTTCCCGCGTTCTGTTACCCTGTGAAAGGCAGAGACGGCTACGCCGTAAGGCAGTCGGCTCCCACAGCAAATCTGCTCTTGGTTTCCAGGCAGAATTTCAGAGTCCCTTAGTGCCCTGCCAAGACATCAGGTCCATCATTCTAAATGTTTCATGATCCGAGTAAGTCTGAAGCCTATTTATTTATTATTATTACTTATACACTTAATCGCTATATATCATTAGACAGACAGAAAGCGAGAAATCACCCCCCCACCCCCCGGGGGATGGCCACACTGCAATCCCTTCTCCTCCATTCTCCGCTTGGGATCTGGGGCACACACACATACGCGCCCAGTGTGAGTTTAAGCCACCAGGTCTGGGACTCGAACCATTGTCGACTATGTGGGAGTCCAGTGACACAGCCTTACACCAACTTCTGGTCCCAGGAGGAGCCTTTTTTTTTTTTTAAAGAATTATTTATTTAATTGTATTTATTAGTATTATTATTTTTAATTTGCTATAGGGCACATGTACCCACCAGAAAGAGACAGAGAGAGAGAGAGAAAGCAAGACTCCAGGTCCAGGACTCAAACTGTGGTCAGCCATATGGGAGTCCAGAGCCTCAACCACACCACCGCCTGCTGACCCGGGGAGCCTTTATTAATCTGATGTAAACTGATGCTGTGAATCACCAGGGAGGGGGGTTACAGAACGCAGTTCCCCGACTTACATGATGACTGAACCCATCTCTGTACAAACACCCCACAAGAAGAATGGTACATTTCTTTAAAGAAACAAACGAAAAAACCTCTGAGAAAATTCCTTCACTAAAAATAAAATCTTTTTAGAAAAGACTGAGTTGTTCTCCCCCAAATTTTCCTTAACGCTTACCTGCTACTCCTTGTCTCTTCTAAAAGATGACAAAAGGAAGGATGCAGGGCAGGTTGGCCTAGAGGGAAAACGGTGAGATGTGGCCTCTTTCCCGCGTTCTGTTACCCTGTGAAAGGCAGAGACGGCTACGCCGTAAGGCAGTCGGCTCCCACAGCAAATCTGCTCTTGGTTTCCAGGCAGAATTTCAGAGTCCCTTAGTGCCCTGCCAAGACATCAGGTCCATCATTCTAAATGTTTCATGATCCGAGTAAGTCTGAAGCCTATTTATTTATTATTATTACTTATACACTTAATCGCTATATATCATTTAGATTGTAAAGAGACTTTACCCAGCACATACACCTTAGTCCGCCCCAGTTGAGAATACTCTACACGTCCTCATCAACAAATAATAAACCAGGACCAGCAGTTAGCATGGCTGTGTCGCTGGACTCCCATGTAGTCGACCATGGTTCAAGTTCCAGACTCGGCGACTTAGTACTCACACTGGGTACATGTGCATTCAAGCCCAAGATCCCAAGAGGAGACTGGAAGAGAAGGGATTGCAGCATGGCCATCCCCTCTGAGGGGTGATTTCTCTCTTTCTTTCTCTCTATCTCTCTCTGTCTTTCTGGTGAGCGCACATACCCTATAGCAAAAACCTCTCAAAAAATAATAATAATAATAAACCATATCTGTGTCCTACAAATGTCTTAGTTCTCTTTTTTTCCCCAAATTCCTTTTCCTATACTCTTGCCCTCCCATACTCTCCTTCCACTTTGTCTCTAGTGTCCATAACAATTTTTAATGCTTTTACATCCTCCAGTCTTTCAGTCTCTACCATAGAGTGCAGACAGTCAGTATATGTTAAGTGGAGACATACGATGTCTCTCTTTCATAGCCTGACTTGCTTCACTCAGCAACAAATCTTCCATATTCGTCCACTGGCTATCAGATTCCAGGGCCTTGTTGTTTTTTATGGCTGAGTATTATTCCATGGTGTTTATGTGCCACACTTATTCAATCCATTCATGTTTGAGGACATCTGGGTTGGTTCCACGTCTTAGCAATCATGAATAAGGCTGCAATGAATACAGATGTGCAAGCACTTTTCCGACTGAGCGTTCTCCTGTCCTTTGGGTAGATACCCAGGAGTGGAATTGCTGGATCATATGGTAGCTCTATTTGTAGGTCTCTGAGGAACCTCCATATATATTTTTCTCCACAGTGGCTGGACCAATTTACATTCTCACCAACAGTGTAAAGTGTTCCCCTTTCACCACATCCCCTCTAGCACTTATCAGTTTTTTTTTTTAATCTTCACCATTCTGACTGGGGTTAGGTGGTATCTCATTGTGGCTTCGATCTGCATCTCCCTTATGATGAGGGATGTTGAGCATTTCCTCATATGCTTTTTGGCTATTTGTATGTCTTCCTTAGAGAGTTGTTTATTCAGCTCATTTTCCCATCTTTTAATTGGGTTAATCTTTTTCTTCTGGGTAAGCCATTTGAGTTTCCTGTGTATTCTGGTTATCAGTCTCTTATCACAGTTAACAAAAATCCTCTCCCATTCTGATGGTTGTTGACTCACACTAATTACAGTGTCCTTTTCTGTGCCTGAAGTCTATTTTAAATATTCCAAGGACTATGTAGTGTAACCTTTGGTTTTAAGACAGGCATTTTTAAACAGGTAAAGCTTAGAGAGTAACATTTTGTGATTTTATGAATTGAAATATTTTCTAATATTAAAACTATGACAGACTTCAAAAAGTTCATGGAAGAGTAGAATTAAAGTACAGAAAAAATTTGAAATCCATGCAATTTTTTCACATGCATTTCTCATGAACTTTTTTGAAGATCCCTTAGAGTTTTTGTTTTGTTTTGTTCTTAGGTTTTTGCCATAGAGCACGTACACTCAACAGAAAGAAACAGAGAGAGGGAGAGTGAGAAATATCCTCCCCACTGCAAGGAAGGATGACCACGCCACAATCCCTTCTCCACTCTCCTCTCAGGATTTTGGTCATGCATGCGCACATGCCTAGAGTGATTTTTTTAAAGAATTATTTAATGTTATTCATCATTGTTATTATTTTTTCATTTTGACCCCAGAGCAACAGAGAAAGAGGGAAAGCAAGAAAGCAAGCTGCCAAGTCCAGGACTTGAACCAGAGTCAGCCATGTGGGAGTCCGGCACCTCAACCACTCTGCCACCTGCCAACACCCCAGTGGAGAAGCGATTGCGGCATGACCATAACGCCCGGGGGGTGATTTCTCGCTTTCTGTCTCTATGTCTCTCTCTGTCTGTCTGGCGAGCACACGCACTCCATAGCGAAAACTTCAAAAAAAAAAAAAGCAGACACGGGACTAGCAGTTAGCGTAATGGCTGTGTCGCTGGACTCCCATGTAGTCGACCGCAGTTTGAGTCCCAGACCTGGTGGCTTAAACTCACATCGGGAGTGTGTGCATGCGTGCCCAAGATCCCAAGAGGAGAATGGAGGAGAAGGGATTGTAGAAGGCCGCCTGCCCGGCACCGTGACCAGCCCACCCAAAAACTCCAGCCGTCTCTGCCCATAACCAGCCTATTCTGCTCTTCGACTGAACACTTGCTCAGTTATGGCTGAGTCTACGCCCTGAGGTTCCAAATGAGGCTTTTTGCTCTTTCTTTATAGATTCAGCGTTAGCAATTCACTGATGAGGGGCCGGCAGGAGGTGTGGTGGTAAAAGACGCTAGGCTCCCACATGGGTGACTGCAGTTGGAGTCCTGGACCTGGTGGCTTACTTTCTCAATTTCCCTCCCTCTCTGTTTCTCTCTATAATAATGGATGACGTTAAATACAATAATTCTTGGGACCAGCAGTTGGCATAATGGCTGTCGCTGAACTCCCATGTGTAGTTGACCACGGTTCGAGTCCCAGACCCGGTGGTTTAAACTCATGCCAGGTGCATGTGCATGTGTGCCCAAGATCCCAAGAGGAGAATAGAAAAGGGATTGTGGCATGGCCATCCCCCCAGGGGAGTGATTTTTCACTTTCTGTCTCTCTGTCTCTCTCTGTCTTTCTGGCAAGCACATGTGCCCTATAGCAAAAACCTCTCCAAAAAGAAAATAAAGTAATTCTTAAAAAAAAGAAATTCACGGAACTGGCAGGTGACATGGTGGTTAAGGGCACTGGACTCCCACATGGCAGATGGCGGTCCAAGGCCTGGACCTCATGGTTTGCTTTCTCACCGTTCCCCCGCCTCATCCCCATCCCTCTCTGGTCAAATTAAAATAAATAAATAATAAACTTAAATAAAATAATTTTTAAAAACAAAATTCACTGACAGAAACAACCATAAAGCTGAGAGGCCAGATGGCAGCCCAGGAGTAAAACAAGGTGCCCTGCTGTACTCTCCAGGCGACCTGAGTATGCCAGGAACCCGGGCCCCAAGCAGGAGCTGGCTGGAAGCGGGGCTGGGTCCTGGGGTCAGGACCCTGCTGGGGTGCTATCTCTGACTCCTGGAGGAAATAAATAAACTTTAAAACAAAGGCGGAGGCCGGCAGGTGGCATAGTAGTTAACATGCTAGACTCCCACCTGGCTGACTGCAGTTTGAGCCCTGGACCCAGCACCTTGAAACTCACACCAGACGCTTGTGCATGCATGTCCCAAATCCTGGGAGAATGGAAAAGCACATGCACTTGAAATCCCAGGAGAATGGAGGAGAAGGGACTGTGTGTGGCCCTCCCCCGGTAAGGGTGATTTCTCACTCTCCCTCTTACAGTTTTTCTCTCTCTCTTCTCCAGCGAGCTCGTGGGCCCCATGACAAAAACCTTAACTAACTAACTAAATACAAAGTGGCTGAAATTCAACTGGACTTCATACGTAACAATGAATAAAGGAAGTGGGGCAGACTCCCAAAGTATTTCTTGGAGCAGCAGAACAAGCCTAACGTTCAAGTCAGACATGGCTGACCCAACCATTTACTAGCTGGGAGACCACCAACAGTTTGCCAGTCTCTGTGAGCTGAAGTTCCCCTTCGTTAGATCAGAAATTAAATACCTGTTTTAGTGGGAAAAGAAGTACTCCAAGTATTTACGAAATGGAGAGGAGGGTAAGCTGGGTAAAGTCACTCTTTTAAACATACTGCACTTGAAAAAGTAACTTCGGGGCAGCAGTCAAGGTGGCTGGAACCCACCAGGCCACCAGCACAGTTCCTGTACTGAACCGAGGGCTTGGAAAATAGGCCAATGTGTATGTGCGCGTGCTCAAAATCTCTAGCAGGTAGTGTAGTGGTTAAGGTGCTGGACTCCCACATGGCCGACCACAGATCAAGTCCCAGACCTGGTAGATAAAAAATCACGCTGGGCGTGTATGTGCCCGAAATCCCAAGAGGAAAATAGAGAGCAAGGAATTGCAGTGTGACTATCCCCTCAGGAGTGATTTCTCACCCTCTTTCTCTTTCTCTCTTTCTCTGTCTCGGGCACATGCGCCTGACAGCAAAAAACTTCACAACAAATCTTTCAAGGTAGTCTACAAACACAATAAACATTTTAAAAATAAAAACATTTGCGGGGACCAGCAGTTAGCGTAATGGCTATGTCGCTGGACTCCCGTGTAGGCCACCACGGTTCAAGTCCTGGACCCATTGGCTTAAACTCACGCCGGGCACATGTGCATGTGTGCCCAAGATCCTGAGAGAAGAATGGAGAAGGGATTGCGGAGTGGCCATCCCTCCTATGGAGTGATTTCTCGCTTTCTGTCTTTCTGTCTCTCTGTCTTTCCAGCGACCGCAGGCGCCCTGTAGCAAAAACACCTCTCAAAAAAGAAGCCAGCAAGTGGTGTGGTAACCCATGCGCTGGACTCCCGCACGGTCATCCACGGTTGGAGTCCCAGACCCAGTGGCGTAAAACTAAAGCCCAGCTGTGTGCATGGACGCCGAAAATCCTAGAGAATGAAGGGACTGCAGTGTGCCCTCTGGGGATGACTCCTGTCTCTCCAGCAAGAGCAACAGCCTATAGCAAAAATCTCTAATTAGGATTCTTGCAGAAACTCTTCCTAAAACATCTACACATTAAAGACTCTCAATAAAATATATTCTCACATCTCTATTCTATGTTTATTTTTAAGAGAAGTTTTTGGGAAAGGGTGTGTCCAATTGCCAGACAGAGAGACAGAAAGCAAGAAATCACGCCAAGGGGATGGCCACGCCACAATCCCTTCTCCTCACTCTCCTCTTGGGGTGTTGGGCACACATACACGCACCTGGCGTGAGTTTAAGCCACCCAGTCTGGGACTCAAACTGTGGTCAACTACATGGGAGTCCAGTGATATAACCATCACACCACCTGCTGGTCCCTCACACTTCCGCTCTTTACCCCTTCCAAATCTTCTTAAATTCAGATAAACGAGCCCTACAAGAAGCAAAGTTAAATATTTCTTTTTCTGAAGGTTAGCATTATCAAGATAGAGACAAAGGAGAACAAGGAACTCAGTTTTTAGACCCCACTCCACCAAACAGACCAAGGAGGCAACCTGAGCAGAAGCATTTCCATGTGTATAGTGATGCTAATCGCACCATTTGGAAGCCTCAGGTTTTCCTGGCTTTTGCTTCCAACGCAAAATGGTGAAAGGTCAGTTCTAGCAAATGAAAGGGAAATTCGGTACCTTAATCTTTTGACTCTCAAGATAAATTCAGATTCAGGTCAGAGAATATTTTTCACTGAACAATGAGAATAGAAATATAAGCATTACCAATTACAGCAAATAAGGGAAAATATAAGCTCCACCTCTAAAGAAAAGATTTCCTTGAGTACACTGAGATAGATTCATTTAATCGATTCAGGTTCTCACCTTACACTACAGATTACGGTGAGAATTAACAAGTTTCTCTTCCATATTCTAAAAGATGACTTAGTGAACCCATCAAGCTGCACAGCAGTCCTGCAGGTAAAAAAGGTGTCATTTTAAAACCACCGAAGTGCACTGAGACCGCCAGGCTGGCAAGGTGGCACTGGGTGGCCGGCCTCAGTGACTGAGCACAGACGTCACAAGGCGCCAGTCCCCACAGGGATGCCCAACTTCAACAATTTCCGTCAGCTTGTAAGAGGGGAAACCATGGAAAATGGTTTATTTGGGGGCAGAAAAAATGTGAGACCTATGCACTTTTTTTCATAACTGTGCATCTCCCATGTAGGTTCGAGTGTGCGCGTCACACTGGCACTGAAGA